CAAAAACTATCTAGAAAAAAGTAAAAATGTCTTAAATTAAGTTTATTTACCCTTAATTTGAGTAGGTAAATAAGATGATTTTCCAATGGAATGAGTATTTTTACTCTTGAAATAAGATAATTAGATAATATGCACTTGAAATAAGATACTGCAATAGTTCATTCTTATTTTGTCTTACTTACCTCATCAATTCAAGAAAAGTTGCAATTATTTCAGAAAAAAATGATTTATTTAGATTTCAACTTTTTGCAGTGTACAGCACAGAAATGTTTAATGCTTTCTTTTTATTTAGATTTTTATGTCCTATTTTTTATATCATTTAACCAGTATGGTTTATTTTTCTAAAGAATCCAAACAGCGAGGAAGCCCAGGCAATTCTGATACCTTTAAATACAGTAGCAGCCATTCAAAATTCCCCCACTCACCTTTAATTGGACCCTGGATGCCCCCCTACAATTCCTTTTAAACATCAATCTTTGTAGTAAAATATTATTTCTGTCATGATTTGTGGACATTAAGATCTAAAGAGAAGGGTTATCTCCTGTCAGATCCTGTGATTCAGGGAACGGGTGGAGCCTAAGTAAAAAATATGTTGGGTTCATAGAGGGGAATTTGCTGGGACTTGCAGGGGAGTGAGCTGCCCTTCGTCTGGCATTTGACTGGAAAATGGCCATTGTGAATGGCTGCTACTGTAACATGCAGGAGAACATGCTACGCTAAAAGCTGTTAAAAGAGTCCAGCTTGAATCTCAGCATAAATTCAGCTCCACATTAGAGAAAAATCTGCAAACTTTGGTGGTGCCACGCCTTGAGTGGAGAAAGGCATCAGCTCCCCTGTGGTTAGTAGATCTGTGTAGAAATTTAGTGGATCCCTTCATTTAAGAATGGCTAGAAGAACAAAAAAAGAAGCCCTCTACTTGGCTACTAGCCATGCACATGAAGGAGCACAGCTGAGCCGCATTGTCTAACCTGAAAACTAGCCATACACTTTAGCCTGATTGAAACATTCCTGTGGTTAAGTACGGTGGTGGCAGCATCATCCTGCGGAGATGCTTTAAAAAAATCCATCACCTGCTTTAAAATCCTTCATTACTTAAAGGTGATAGATCCACCAATGCTAAAGCTAATGCTTACTAGTGTTGCACCGATACCAATACCAGTATTAGGCGGGGCCCAGATTCAGCACTAAAATGTTGTTGTTTTTTATCTTAAAATGTTAGCACAAAGAAGAAGCCATTTCTCGGCTCTATCAGGGAGCTACTAAGATCTTAACAATTCAATTCATTTTGTTTATATAGCGCCAATTCAAAACACATGTCATCTCAAGGCACTTTACAGTTCACCAGATCATCCAGTCAAATTGATTAAGTTTTCTAAGGAAAACCAGCTGATTGCATCGACTCATTGACTTGAATGCAATCTCTAACACTAAGCATGCTTGTAGTGACAGAGGGGAGGAAAAACTTCCTTTTAACAGGAAGAAACGGCCACCAGAACCAGGCTCAGTGTGAGCGGCCATCTGCTGAGGCCGACTGGGGTTCAAGGAGACAGAAGCAGAGATACAAAAGCAATGCCTGACTCCTTTAATTTACCCTAATACTACTGGTGATGCAGAATCCCTTCATATCAGTGTTGGAATTATAACCAGAAATTTATATTTTTCACCCCTCAAAACATATAAAGCCATTATTACTATGTATCTTTTATTCAGTAAAATAGATGTGTGTTTATTATTTGGTTTTATTATTCCCCTCTGGATGTTTGCTGCATTATATTCCAGGGAGAGATACTTTGAAGTGTTCAGTTCTAATGTAACAAAATGTGGAAAAGTTTGAGGACTAAAAGCAATTCAGCAAGGTGCGTATTGATCTTGGTGCTTCCTTTAAGGCAGTTGTTGGAGCTACTAAACTGACATGCTTTCTTTTATGTTTTCATTACGTCATATAACAGATTTAAAAAAAAAAAAAGGTTTTTATACCATTAAAAATATGTTTTATTGTGAATGTAATGTAACATGCTTCCTTATGTATTTATTTATTGTCTTATAATGGAATTTCTATAACAGTGTTTTTATGTGTGAATGCAGAGTGACACATAGGAATATAGCAGCCAGAGTCTGTACCCAAATCAAATGTCCTTCGGGACAATAAAGTTAATCTAATCTAATCTAATCTAATCTAATCTGTTAGATAGACCTCAGATGCAGCTGACCTGGATGTGAGTATAAATAAGTGGCACAGAAGTGAATCTGAAATGCTGTGGATGCTGTGAAGCTTGCAGCCTGTACTTCCAGCTGGTGGAGGTGCAGGTCTCATATAACCATCGTCACGCATTCCTCAGATAAAGATAAACACCCACCCAGAAAAAAGGGATGAGATGCATGGAGATAAAAATAAGCGAAGCCTAATAATAGCTCTCTTTTCCCAGATCCTTTAGAAAACGAGGTTTTTGCACTACTTTACCAAAGGCGATCGCAAACATCCATCCGATCTTCATCGACATGAGTAATAATCCCATTTCATCCCATCTCAATCCAGGCAAGATGTTGGGAGGAGGAGGAGGAGGCTGCTTCTTCTCATGCACGGAGCAGATTAGCTGCTCCTTCTTATTTCATCGCAGAGTCTCGATAAAAAACCTCCTTAGATGTGGATCTCCGATCTGCTCCTCCTGCTCTCCCTCCCTCTCTTACCTGCCCCCCGGCGGGCGCTGAGCTCATCTCCCTGCCCCTCCTCAGCTCCGGACGGCTCCCACCTCCTGGAGCACAGCCTGTTCTCTGGGCTCCAAAATTAGGTGCAATATTTAGCTTTTTTTAAGTGAAAAAAAAAAAAAAAAGAGTCATTTTGTTCACTATGTCATTCATTCATTTATAAAAATCTTACTTTGTTAAAAAAAATATTTAGTTTGGAGCTAAACGTTTTTTCAAACTAAATATTTAGTCTGCAAATTAACTATTTAGTTTTTTTTAATAAATATTTAGCTCCATTTTTAATATATAGTTGAAAAAAATATTTTGCTCCAAATTAAATATTTATTTAACAAAGTTATTTCTATAAATGAATGAATGGCATAGTGAAAAAATCACTTGGAAAAAAATAAACTCCTTATTTTTCTCTTAAAACACAGTAAATAACCATAAATATTGCTTAT